CTTCTTTGTTTCATATTTCTTTTTCTTTTTTCCTCTTCTCTCTTTTAATTTTTCTCCCTTTAAGTGTTTCTCTTATTTTCACTCCCTATATGATTTCTTTTTTGCCTCTTTTTTCTTTTATCTTCTATTTCTCATCAGTTTTTCTCTTACCTTTACCTAATTCCATAAGCATCCTTCTACTTCCCAATTAGATCTTTTGTACTACTTCTTTCTCCTCATATCATATAGTTTAAGGTTTCAAAATTTTCTTGCATTTCCCTATTCCCAATTCCTATATCTTTGATAGTATAACCATAAAGCTTTATTAATCTTTTGATAGTTAATTAACTGTAAAATTAATTGTTGAATTCTTTTTTTACCATTAGTGGAGATATAGCTGTCTCATTTAGCACATATTAACTTAAGTCAATTCCTCAGTTGTCTTAATGTTTATACCCTAAATGTGGATTTCTTCTCTAGGATAAATGGTGGTACATAATTTGTTCTTATTGTATGTTAATATCCAATTTGTCTTGGATGATACTACTATAATAGATTTGCTATGTATCTGGGTTGCATAGTTGTTGCTATTCTCTGTAAACCAATACTCAGATTACCTTTGTGACTATCAATACTAGATTACATTCTCAGTTGTTGGGTTGATTACACTGCATCTGCCCCTCCCAAATTAACCAGGGTGGTTGGATCTTGGGGCTGAGGCAAAGAACTATAATTAGCTATGTCCTAAGTATGTCATTGGAAAGCAACTAAAGAGCTCTCTATACTAGCAACAAAGTCTTTACCCTATAAGCATCCATAAATCTCAGAACAAACAAGCACAAACAAAACCAATAGAAATGTGAGAAGACAAGGTAACAAAATGTCTCCCCAAACTCCCAACTCCCCTGAAGCCAATCCAGAGGGCACTGAGGAGCAGAATAGCAAAAGCCCCACACCCAAATTAGTCAAAAGGATAACAGAGGAGGTTAGAAAACAGATCAAAGATGTACTCAGTGGGATCACAGAAGATGTAATAGATAATAATAGAAGTAATAGCCAAAATGATCCCAGAGCTTTGAGAAGATACTAATGAAAATATAGATGAGCTAAACAATAAGTTAGATGATACAAAACATGAATGACTAGTTTATCAAAGAATTAGAACCTATTGAAAAGTTTCATTCAGAAATCCAGGAGATTAAAAGTCATAATGAAAGTATGGGTAGAAGTGACCACTGTGAGGACAGAATTTCAGAACTAAAAGATAATGATACTTTCAAAGATCAGCTGCTCAAAGACACCTTAAAAACAATGAGAGAACATGAAAAATGGATACAGTAGCTGCAAGGTGAAACAAAGAAGATGAATCTAAGACTAATTGAAATAAGTAAAAAATCAGAAGATAACACAAATGCCATAAAAAACCTGTTCACAGAAATAATGGCAGAAAACTCCCTAAATATAGGGAAAGAAATAAACATACAAATAAGTGAGGCATATAGAACCCCAAATAACCACAACCAAAAGAGAACCTCTCTGAACCACATTATACTTAAAGTACCAGAAGTCCATCTTAGGGACAAAATCTTAAAAGCTGTGAGAGAAAGGCAATGAATCACGTATAAAGGTAAACCCATTAGAATTACAGCAGACTTCTCTACACAAACCTTAAAATCCAGGAGGGCTTGGAGTGAAGTGTTTTAAGCCCTGAAAGATAACAACTTCTAACCTCAACTTATATATCCTGTAAAACTTTTCTTCAAAATTGATAAATAAGGTATTTCCACGGCAAGGAGCACCTCAAGAAACTCATGACAGCCAAATCAGTATGATAAAAAATTCTCAAGGATGTCCTAGAGACAATGAAGCTGACAATGCCAATAAGTCCCAAAGAATAAACACACCTGGTGGGATGCACAACTAAGTAAAAAATACTATGACTGTATTGATGCCTATCTGTCCTTTTAAGTCTAGTAGTTTTTGTTTTATGAAGTTGGGTGCACTGACCAAATGGTGCATAGTTATACTTATTATCTCTTTCTGTTGATTTGTTTCCTATACCAATATGTAGTGGCCATCTTTATCTCTTCTGATCAGTTTTTGCTTGAAGTTTTCTGTATCTAAAAATAAGATAGCTACTCCTGCTTTTTTCTGGCTCTGGTTGAATGGTGTATTGTTTTGCATCCTTTCACTTTCAGACTATGTACTTCCTTTTGGGTAAGGTATGTCTCCTGTAGGTGATATATGGTTATATTTTATTTTTTGATCTAATCTACCAGTCTGTGTCTTTTGATCATGGAGTTGAGACCATTGATATTGAGAGTTATTATTGTAAGGTATTTATTGAATTCTGTCCTTACATTATTTTCCCAGTGCTGATTCTGTTATTTTTTTCCTTTTGTTTAACTACTCTCCCAGTTAGATGTATATTTTTCTTTGGGGTCTTTGGTGCTGGTAGCCTCCCTGTCTCTATCTAGGATTTCCTTAAGTATTTTCAGCAATGTTGCCATTTATTTATTTATTTAATTATTTATCTTTTTTTCTTTTTAGTACTGGGGATCGAGCTCGGGTCCTTGTGGTTGTGAGGCAGGTGGTGGAACCACTGAGCTAAATCCCTGGCCCGATTTATTTTTATTTTCTATTTTTTGGTGCCAGGGTTTGAACTCAGGACCTTGTGCTTGTGAGGCAGGCTTGGTGCCACTGAGCTAAATCCCTAGCCCTGGCAATGCTGCGTTAGTACTCATATATTTCTTTAGAATTTCTTTGTTGTGATAAGTCTTTTTTAAAAACATACTTATTTACTTTTCTTTTTTTCAGTTTTTTTTATTAGTACATGTTTGGAATATATAATGATAACATTCCTGGTAGGGAGTTGTTACATGTACATAGCACATGTTAATTCTTTTTCTGTTGCGGAAGCTCTTTACTTCTCCATAAATTTTGAAGGCTAATCTTGCAGGATCTGAAAGTCTGAATTGGGAATTCTTTTCTTTTAGGGTTTGATAAACTTCGCTTCAAGCTCTCCTGACCTTTAATGTTTGTTCGAGAAATCCTCAATTATTCTGACAGGTGTGCCTTTATAGGTTATTTGCTGTTTTCCTCTAATAGGTTTTAGTATTTTCTCCTTTTGTTGAACTTTTGGAATTTTGATTATGATGTATTGTGGAGAGGTTCTTTTCTAATCCTGACTATTTGAGGTTCTATATGCCTCATGTACTGAAATATTAAATTCTTTCCATAGATTTGGAAAACTTCCGTTATGATTTCAGTGAATAAATGTTTATATCTTTTGATTCATCTTTTAGTTTTTCCTTTAGTCCTATAATTCTGAGGGTTTTTTTTTTGAGTCATCTAGCAACTGTTGGATCCAGGGTGTATGTGTCTTATCATTTTTAGGGTAGCATTCAGTTTATGATTGACTGCACTCACCTAGCCTTCTATTTCTGACACTCAGTCCTCATGTTGGTCAAGTCTGCTATCTAGACTTTCCATTAAATTTTTCATATCATCTGTCTCCACTTGTTTTCTTTTCATACTTTCTAATTCTTTACCAAAGTAGTCACTCATGTCCTTTATTGACTTGTTTAATCAGTTTATTGTTTTTTCTTTAAGCTCATTGAACATTTTATTTGTAAAATCCTTTGTTTAATTAAATACTCTTTCAGCTCATTAAACATCTTATGCATTTGCTTATATGTTTCTTCTTTTATCTTCCAAACATTTTGACCATTTGGTTTTTGAATTCTTTGTCTATAGCTTCCTCTTCATCAGTGTCTGTGAGATCTACTTTTGGAGAGTTTGGGTTTTGAGAGGCATCTTTGCTCTGCTTTCTCATTTCTCTATTGTTTTTGGTTTGTGGGTAGAAGACCAGTTAGGGTAGAGAAATTCTGTCACTACAATGGAGATCTATTTAATTAAATTCTGTCTCTCTGTGGTGTGTCCTTGTGTTGGATTATTTTTTGATGTTTATACCTAGAGGGGAAAATTTTAAAAAATAAAAATAAAAAGAACAGGCAGCTAGAACCTCAGTGTCTGTGCTGCCCATAACTCAAGCCCCATCCTCTGCTGGCCTCTGGGCTCTTAGCACTGGCTTCCTTTGTCCAGCAGGACACTATTCTTGGGCCTGCCCTGCCCAGCCAACCTTCCTGTGTTCTTACATCTATGTGGACTCAAGCTCTTTGGGATCAATACCTCCACTGGTTGGGTATTGGGCATCTTTCTTTCTTTCTTTCTTTCTTTCTTTCTTTTTTTTTTTGCAAGGCTACAATTAAATTTTACTATGGTATAAAAAAATCTAAGGTACAATCTACATAGAACTGAGGTAAATCTTTATAAATAAATATTCTCAGGTAATTCAGATAGCTGAAAATAGACTGAACACATGAAAGATCTCTAGTTTCTCTTTCTAGGCTGTTAGATTCCTGGTAAAGCTGCCCTCGCAGGAACTGCAATTGACCAACTAACAAGTCTAATTTCTTCCTAGTTGTAAATATTCAGTTGAATAGTTATCTCAAGCAACACTTCTTGGGATCTTTCCCCCAATTCTTAGTCTATCTTTTCCATTTATCTCTTTTGTGTCCTACAATTAAGGGTGAAGGACAACTTCTATTTCTTCACTGTTCCTGGACAAACTCACTAGGAATTCTCAATCCCTTATTTCTTGATCTGTAATTTCCCTATAAGAATCATTGCTTCTTTATAACTTTGGGCTCTCAGCATCATAAGACTATCACGTCCAGCCAACAAGTCCTCTTTCCACCATGACACACCCTATTTCTCTCTCAAGGATTTGGTCACTTACATACACATTATGGTGTTAGAAATAAACTTCCTCTTTCCCCAGGGAAATTTAGAGTGTCCTCCATTAGGACATTTAAAAAAGTGTAAAACCTTTCATTCAGTCTAAGTAAGCTATACCCTACATCTACAATGACTTCTCAATAACTAACAGTCTTAAATTTGTTTGTAGCCCTCACAGCATGTATGGTAAATGCTTCATGATGATATTCTGAATATGCCCTTTATCCGGTATGAATTCTCTTATGTTGGCCAAAGGCTGAATGCTCACTAAAGGCTTGGCCATATTCCCTGGTTTTCCCTCTAGCATGAGTTTTCTGATGTTGAGAAAGGAACAAACTCTGGCTGAAGGCTTTTCCACATTCCTTACATGTATAGGGTTTCTTGCCAGTGTGAGTTTTCTGATGTTTTGTAAGAGATGAACTCTAGCTAAAAGCTTTCCCACAGTCCTTACACTTGTAAGGTTTCTTGCCAGTGTGTATTCTCTGATGATGGATAAGGGTTGAGTAGTCACTGAAAGCCTTGGTGCAATCACTGCATTTATAGGATTTCTCCCTAGTGTGAGTTCTCTGGTGCTGAGTCAGAGCTGAACAGTAGCCAAAGGCTTTCCCACATTCATTACATTCATAAGGCCTCTCCCCAGTATGAGTTCTCTGGTGTTGAATAAGGCCTGAGTGGTCACTAAAGGCTTTGCCACATTTGTTACACTTGTAAGGTTTCTCTCCAGTGTGAATGACCTGATGCTGGGTAAGGAATGTGCTCTGGTTTAAGGCTTTCCCACACTCATTACACTCATAAGGTTTCTCTCCAGTGTGAATCTGCTGATGCTGCATGAGGTATGAGCTCTGATTGAAGGCCTTCCCACATTCACTGCACTCATAGGGCTTCTCTCCAGTATGAATTATATAATGCCGAATAAGGGCTGAGTGGTGACATTCACAGGGGTTCTCTCCACTGTGAAATCTCTGGTGAAGAGTAAGGTGTATGCTCTGGCTGAAGGCTTTCCCACATTCATTACATTCAAAGGGTTTTTCTGCTGTGTGAACTCTCTGGTGCAAGACAAAAGCTGAGTAGTAATTGAAGGCCTTCTCACACTCATTGCACTTCCAAGGTTTCTTTCCTGCACAAATTCTCTCATGCCTGATTATATCTGAATTTTGCTTTAAGTTCTTTTTAAATGAATCAAAATTATGAAGTCTCTCTCTCTGTGTTGTTGAACAAGTAATGACCACTTCTAAATTCATCACATTGGTAACTTCTCTCCCCAGAAAGTTTCTTCTGAGTGACAACCTCTTTGATTAGATGTTTTTCATGGTTTTCTTGCTCATTCTCTAAAGAGTCCTTACATTCACTGGAACCTGCCTTTGGAAATCTTTCTATTAACACCCCAGAGGCTGGTTCTTCAGAGAAGTCCTTCTCTGGAGTTAGCTCTCTGCTTTCTGGTATTGTCTCCCAGTCTGGACTGGTTGTTTTTGAGATTTCTCTTGCTAGCTCCTCCTCACGCTCCAAGTAAGAGATTATATCAGGCTTGGAAATTGGAAGTCCTGGGACCCAGGGGTCAGCAGCACATCAGCCATGCCATTTTCTTTTGCAGTTCCAGCACCGGGAAGGTCTGAGTCCTCAGCAAGTGATCCTCTGCCTCCAGGATCCATCGTGATTCCCTCCTCTGCCCAGGGCCGGGGCGGACCGCTCGGGGTCCACCGAGAGGCCCAGAACGCACGCCCTCTGCCGGTCTCCTTCGGGGCACTCAGACTCAGAAGGCTCCGCGGTCAGCCCTCCTCCAACCCGGGACCAACCTGGAGGAAGCCAGGCTAGGTAGGTGACAATGGCAACTAAGAACAGCAGGGGCTGAGTTTTCCCTGGGCACCTTTCTTTATGGGTCTTTCTCATTTCCATAGCACTGGGCCTGAACAGCATGGATTGCCACACTCCTAAACATCCCTGTTAGCTAAGCTCTGATTTGATGCCACATGGGCTCAGAGGATGACTGATGCTTGGGCCAAGGCAGTTTCAGGGCAGTTGGCTCCAGTCATTTTGGTGCCAACAGGATGGGGTAGGGGTTGACATTGGTTTTAGTGGACTTGGGTTTGGTCCAGTGCTGCCATTGATTTGCTTTTTGATGGTAGGGAAGTCATTTAACCTCTAGGAGTCTTGACTGCACCTTGTATAATGGGCATAACTACCTATTCTTCCAGGGTTGTTGTGAGATTAAATAAGAAAATAACTTAATTTAGACCAGGGCTTGGTATAGAGCAAGACTCTCCAAATAATGAGTTCTTTCATAATATTTCTCTCTGTTCTTCAGGCTTCAATATCCTCAGTGCTAAGAGGTATGGATAATCCCACCCCTACAACTATAATCCCTACCCCCATTCTCACAAGACAGCCCTAGACTGCAGTGTAGGACTGTAGATTCATTAATTCTTTCATACATTTTCCTTCTTCATTTATTCTTTTATCCTAATGATAATAACTGCACATTAGAACATGGCAAAAAAATCCTAGTACTGTACTCAAATCTACCAGTTAAATCATTAAGCCAGAATATCTAGTTTGGAGATTCATCAGTATGGTTTTTATGGCTTCCCAGGTGTTTTCAATGTGCAGGCAAGACTGAGAACCACTGCCTTTTCTAGCTCCCTAATCTATGGTTTCTAAAACTGGAATCACCTGTAGAGGTTTAAAAAATTACCAATATCCTGGTCCTTCCTTGTCCTTCAACTCCATGCCAAGTGCAACAGTTTCTCCAGAAGTGAGCTGTAGGCTTCATGATAATTTGTAATGTTCCCTGATGTTTATTACAGCTAGATTGGAGAATTGATGCCTATAACTGCCACCCACACAGATGCATGTAACAGGCACTCACTGAGAACCTCTTAGACAGTGGTGCTAGGGGATGACAGTGAGGAGCCTAGGAAACAGTTGAAGGTTGGTTGCCTCTTAGTCCACAGAGCATGTCCTCCAGCAGCCCTGACTGCTCTTGCCATCCAGAAAAGGACCCCAGAGACAGGGAAGGACAAGGGTCCAGCAGTCAGCATTTCTACAATGCCATGGAGCTCTGGACGGGACTTTCCTGTTCATTATTTCTCTGGCTCAGATCTCAGAATCTGCCATTCGTGTGTGTGTGTGTGTGTGTGTGTGTGTGTGTGCGCGTGCGTGCGTGTGTGCATGTGTGTGTGTGTGTTTCCTTTTCTCCAAGTTGACTTTATACTTGGCCTCCTGGGGAAAGGCTAGGATTTGACTTCAGTTATAGATTTGGAGACAATGTAGAAGTATTGGTTTTTCTTTTCAAGGTGTCTCTCTTCATGATGTGACCAGAATTTAAAAAAAAATCACTCCAGGGTGATTCCAGCTGCAGAAACCACTGGACAGGGTTTTTGGGCAAGTTAGGAATACAACTCATACTGGAGGTGGTATTAGAATAAGTATATGCTATCTAGTGTGGTGGCCCATATTTATAATCCCAGTGGCTCAGGTGGCTGAGGTAGGAGGATCCCAATTTGGAGACCAGCCTGGGAAACTTAGTGACTTAGCAGGACTCCGTCTCAAATAAAAATAATTTTTAAAAGGGCTGGAGATGTAGCTAGTGCAAAAATCCTGGATTCAATACTCAGTACCACAGAGGAAAAAAGAATGAGCATATGCTATTTGCTAGAATAATTATGGACTTAGAAAAAGAAAATACCCACATATTTCAGGTATTGATGCTAGTTCTAAGCTAATAATTTCTTTCTTTCTTTCTTTCTTTCTTTCTTTCTTTCTTTCTTTCTCTCTCTCTCTCTCTCTCTCTCTCTCTCTCTCTCTCTCTCTCACACACACACACACACACACACACACACACACACAAACTGGAGATTGGACTGGGGCCTTGCATATGCACTATCACTGAGCTACACCTCCAGCCTCTTGAACTAATAATTTCAGAGTGCTGCTGTGGGTCATTAGAATGGGGACTCTGATGGTTATTTGATAAAGGGGACTTTGAGCTATATATACTTCATAGTAGGTTTGGTGGAATTCTTAACTCATCCTGTGGCTATTTCCACACTTTCTGAGAATGCAGTTGGAATAAATGTACCCTGCAGTGATCATAGTCTTCACATTGCTTCTCAGACTCACAGAAAAAGACTTTAATGTAGTAAGAATCAAGCAGAAGCCTCTGGAGTACTCTTTTTATAAGCACAGTAGTAAACCAAAATCAATACTACAGTAATACCTCGATTCACCAACATTTCTGTTTACAAACAATTCAGTTTGCAAACAAATGCTTTCAGCAAAATGTTGCTTCCATTTGCAAACTCTGCATCAGGTGACAAATATGACCACGGCCATCTTTGCCACACAAACACAAACGCAGTCATCTTCCCCAAAATTGTAAAACAAATTAAGTTCATGAACTGAGGTACCACTGTACATTCTTGGAGGGATTAAAAAGATAAATGCTACTATTAAAGACTTGGGACAAACTGTGTCCAACATCTGCTGACCATAGAGAGGACAAACCCTGAAGGACTTTTGGATTCCTATCTTACTTCAACTGAGTAATGTTTGGTTTAATGTAGAAGACAGATGAATGCTGGAAAATAACAATAAAAAGAGATAATTCAAATGGCAGCTACTATTCTAAGTATTTTTTTTTTAACTAGGAAAAATAATCATAGTCATTGACAAATGTTTTGTTCTCTGTCCCAACAAGCTGAGAATCCAGAAATCATTTGTTTTCACGTGGTAGGGCAGCAGTACACCTTCACAGTCTCACCTCAGTTATGGCATCACAGTACCAACTGCTCGGTGTCAGGGTTGCAAGCTGTGGAAGCTGATATTCATTTGAAGTGCAGATAGTGGTGCCCTCACCAGACATTTCTGCAGTGTGATTCTGAAGACTGGTCCTGGTTGCATAACCTCTAAGCCTGCTCCCCAACAATCCCCATCCCCACCATCCACTTCTTGTGCCTACAGACCTCTCACAAGTTTCTCTTCTATTTAAGCCAGGAAGAAGTATATCTTTTGCTTACAGTTAATAACACCAATAGCTGTACTTCCAGGAATTCCTTCCGGCAAAGGTCATCTGCAGCTTGAAATGGAAGGAGGGAGGTAGAAGCAGCACTGCAGATCAACAATGGCTCCAAACATCTAAAACTTCAAGAAGGCAAGAAGGACATCAGTGTTGTCCTGATCCTGCTGACTCTCAGGAAGTGTGACTTAGTTCCAGACCCAGGGTGAAAGAAGTTCAAGTCCAGTAAGAAGTCATTCCTTTTCAATTTATTTTCATAATAATTCTAGGGCAGAAAGGATGAATTCTGATGTGCCTCTGGCTTTTCCCCAGTAGCATGTAGTTCCTTCTTATTTTTCTTCTTTTTCTCTGACTTCATCTCGTTCTTTAGCAGTATTGGGAATTGAACTCAAGTCTTTCATACTGAGCTACATCCCCAGACCTTCTTTTTTTTATTTTCAATTTTGAGGCAGGGTCTTGCTAACTCACTAAGTTCCTCAAACTGGGCTCAAACTTGAAATCTTTCTGCTTCAGCTCCCAGAGTTCTGGGATCACAGATGTGCCCTGCTACACTCAGCTTTAATTGCTTTTTAAAGTCACTTAATCACAAGTGTTTTACCAGCTTTTTCATTGTACTGAGAGTCTGATTTCTGCTAGACATTACCTACTATAGTCTCTTAGACATTATGTATTGTACCTACTATAGGAGATGTTGGTTAAATTTCTGGCTGCCTATTGTCTACCCTAACATTATCTGGATTTTCTAATGCCCTGGGATACTATTTAGATTCCTGGTGAGGTGTAGGACACAGGGACTGAAGAGGGAGAAAATGACCACGAGATGGCAGTATCACACAGTGAGTTTGATTTGGGTGGAGCTCAAACAGTGTTGCCTGTGAGGGGAAGTCCCTCTTAGCAGGTGCTCTTCTAGGGATGGAGCTGTAGGTCCTCCACCCAGAAAGGGAAGATAGCGAGGGAACTCCCCAGGCAGAGGTGCTTGTCTGGAAGAAGGTGCTTCTGGGTCAAAGAACGCTAAAGGCAGCAGTGGCTTGGGCTCTCGTATCTCCAAAATATATATATATATATACATATATATATATATATATGTTTGTGTTTATGTTTATATATATATATATAATATATATTACATTATTTATGTAAAAATTTGAGCTCCAAAGGGCTTTGGAGCTAACAGTCCTATTGTGAAAAAGCAAACACCTCAGGGGCCAAGAACAGGGGTCATCTTTAGCCCATTTATATGACATAGGCTAATAATAACCAGAGCCTTTCTTCTATTACTCTTTCCCTCTACAGAAACTGAAGGAACAGAATTGTCCTTAACCTCCCCTGTTTGTATAGCCAAGGATTAAACTAATGGCCAAGCTCTTCTACTAGCTAGATCATTGCCTCCAGACTTTTGGATCTGAGCATGCAACTTTAGTATTCAGAGATGAGAATTGTCAACTAGTCTGGCCCTACCAAGAGACATTGTCATACTTCTTAGATTTCTGAAGCATGTTTTTCAACCTGGCCATTTTTCTAAACCACCGAAACAGGGCATGAGTTCAGTGTCAACATCCCCAGTTCTCCAAAAAAGCCTTTGCCTGTTCTTCCTGCCTACAACTCAGACTCTGAACCTATACCATGGGGCTGGTGGGGCCACAACCAAGATGGTGCAGCAAGAAGCTAAAAGGAACCTGGATTCTGGTGACTTCTAAACCAGCTGTATTAGCCCTTGACTCTCTGCTTTTAGATTTCTTGGCCCTGGGTAAAATGAGCTCCTTATTTATGTAGCATAGAGGTTGAAGAAATGATTCACAGGGTGTTGACACAGGCACCTTTAATTTTATTTCCTAACTTCCATTCAAATGTGTTTTGAGGGGATGGTCCATTGCCAATCCTCCATGCTCCAACACACACATTTTTTCTTCATGATGCTGGGGATAGAACCCAGGGCAAGTGCTCTGAGCTATATGCCCAGCCATTCACTACCCTTTTGAATTAAATGTAGGGCAGGCCCATGTCTTCTCAGGAAACACTCCATTGGTAAATAATTTCTGGGCCATTTCAAGTTATAAAAGTCTCATTTTAGTCACTGCAATTAAAAACCATATAATTTGTTCAAATTTGTGGATATGGAGGGTAAAATTGTGGTTGCAAAGGGCTGGGGGGAGGGAGGTAATGGAAGTTATTGTTTAGTGGGTAAGGGGTTCACTTTGGGATGATGAAAAAGTTCTGGCGATGGGTGCATAAAAATAATGTAAGCATGTTTGGTGCCATTAAATTGTACAATTAAAATGGTTAAAATAGTATATTTTATGTTATACATTTTTTACCACAATAAAAAATGTAAAAAAATACAAGCAAAACCAAGCCAAAA